AGAACTGTAACAGCAGGAAACTGCGAACCTCCGGCCTACAGCCTGGTGGCCCCACAAGGGGGCCGGCGGATATGTGTGAATGTGTCTATGTATGTATATGTATATAAACATTTTTATGTACACATATCAGGGTGAAAAAAAAAGCCGAACGGTCATTCACTGTCCCTGGGCGCGTGGCTGAAGTGAGGTTCTGCGGTAAGGGTTGTTGTTGCTGCTGTTGTTGTTGCTGCTGTTCTTGTTGTTGTTTTTGTTGTTTGACTCATACTACTCAATAGCCATCGTTGATCCCCCCTCCGGGGCACATTGTGTTTTACAATTGCACTGCCCTTCCGGGGGCTCGCACCCTGTCGTTTTATTCGGGAAAGCGAAGGGTCACCAAACTGGGCCCGTGGCCACCGGTTTACAACAACAGCGGCTCCCACCTGATACTTCCTCACAATGTATTCCCAAATCGCGCTTTCGCGCGGGACTCCCTCACAATTTATGCAGGAATCGCGCTCTCGCGTGGGACTTCCTCACAATTTATTCGGACGCCGCGCCCTCGACACTCAGGAATCACGCTCTCGCTGGGAATTTTCGGATGTCTTGCTTCGGAATCGCGCTATCGCTAGCTAGGACTTCCTCGCGATTCGCGCAAGACGCACGCTTTAGCAACCCGCCTGTTCGACCAGGCCGTCTGGGCCTGCCTTCCCGACCCGCCAGTCAGGGTCTACCCACCCGATCTGCCCGTCTGGTTCTGCCACGTGCTTTCTGCTCCTTGCCCCCCTCCTGCGACTCCCTCTCGTGCTCCATCCTCCTCCCTCCCCCTTGTCCCTTCCTTCCATCCGTCCTCTCTTCTCCTTCCTTAGGGGCTGCACGAAATGCACGTTGCAGGTAGGAAAGATATACCCCCAAGGGGGCACGATCGAAGACCAACAAGGCGGGTATCGAGGGTTTGGGATATACGTGTTGCATGGCACGCGAGCAGATAACAACGAACAATCCCAAAATGATTGTTGTTGTTGTTGTTGTTGTCGTTGTCGTTGTCGTCGTTGTTGTTGTTGTTGTTGTTGTTGTTGTTGATTTTTCCTTTCTAGTTGATCATAACTGTTTACCCCCTCCCCTCGGGGGCACATGGTGCTTTTTCAATTGAAGTGCCCTTCCCGTGACTCGCACCCTGTTTTTTTTATGAGTTCTGGGTCTCAGAATTGGATTACTGGCCCCCGGTTTACAACAACAATCATTTTACCCGAATGCCCTAGGGCTATATATATATATATATATATATATATATATATGATACGTATATATGCACACACGAAACATGCATCTATCATGATAACTCCCCCCTCATGGGGGATTTTTTCTTGCACCGGGGTTTCCGATATTCCGTTACCCAGATTTCCCGCCCGAGGCTGTCTTGACAACACCTCTTCCGAGGCACTTCAACATTTCCAGTCCAGATGGCACTTCGCCTTCACCCTCCCCACGCCTTGATTCTACGTATCACCACGCCTGACTGGCCTAAGACTTCTGGGGGAGGCCCCACAATCTCTGGGAGAGGTCCCGGAGCCCCCTGGAAGTCCCTTGGAGAAACCCCCAACCTCTGAGAGAAGCTTTGGAACGTCGGTGGAACACCTGAGGGCCTCTGGAAGACGACTCAGAGCTGAACTGCAGGGCTTCTGGGCCTCTTGAAGGAGACTTCGAAACATTTTTGGGAAAAGCCTGGATCGGAAGGGTTTCTGGGCCTCTTGAAGGAGCCCGGAACGCCGGGATCGGAGGGAGATGTGGAGGAGGATGGGGAGGAGGAAGATGAGGAGGGGGAGGAGGGGGATAATGATGATGATGATGAGGAGGAGCAGGAGCAGGGAGGAAGGGAAGGAGGAGGAGGAGGAAAAAGAGGAGGAAGCAGGAGGAGGAGGAGGGAAGACGAGGGGGGAGGAAGAGGAGGAGGAGGAGCAGGAGGAGGACGACGACGACCACGACGAGAGACAAGGTGGAGGAGGTGGGAGAGACGGCGACGATGACGACGACGACGAGGGCAGCCTTCCACAAAGGGCACCCTGCATTCCGAAAAGAAATTGGGACCGGGGCCCGCCCTGCTGACCCGCCGCGACCCTTCGAGCTGGCCGTGGGGGGCAGGGCTCGGCGGGCAGGCAAGGGCGCATTCAGGGTGTCCAACAATAAGAAATGTTCAATAATCAAGATTCAACAAGGACCAGAAAAGCCTCAGGGTCTCGTCGGAGTCCTTGAATCAAAACGGAGGAAGTATCGAGCGGCAGCGTCGTTTTTGGCGGGGGGTCCTGAGGCGGGAGCGCAGGTCCTGAGGTAAAAAGCAAGGAAGTACCAAGCGGGAGCGCCAATTCTCTTGGAAGGGCGGTTTTGGGGGGCGAGCGCGAACCCCCGCCCCGAGTGAAAAAAGAAGAAGAAGAAGAAGAAGAAGAAGAGGAAGAAGAAGAAGAAGAAGAAACATAACAAGTATCGAGCCGGAGCGTTGCTGTTGTTGGGGGGCCCATTTTGGCGCATCCCCGAAACGCTTGGGCGTGAGCCTAACTTCAAAAAGAAAGGCAGCCGGCGCCTGTCTGCGTGATTGGTTGCTTTGCTTTGCGCAGATACCTCACGGCACCCCACCCGCCGCGACCCACGTATTCATCCAATTATGTTTTGCGGCCTTTTTTACCGGATTGCCGGATGAGCCTGTTGAGAATCTTCTCGTTGTGCTAGTCTCCTGTCTGGCAGCATACCTTCCGTCTTCCAACGATATTAAGTGTATGAGAGCTTGTCCACGGACGTCTGGGGAGCAAATCTGTTTCGGGTAAAATCGACGCGGCTGCCTGGAGAGCCTGTTCAATATCAGCAGCCGGTTCCTCCACGCTGCACATTGCATAGTTTGTGGTAGCCGCCCAATTGAACGCCTCCAAAAACTCACGTCTCACACTTGCTGTCTTATCCAATGTTGTCTTCTTTCGCTGCTTGCTCACTATGAATGGAAGCGACGTTTCAACATTTATAAAGAAGTGTTGGCTATCGATTGGCTCCTCTCGACACGTCCAAGAGTTAAGAATCGTAGGAGGGCAGCTTTGGCGGCAGAGGACGTGGTCAACTTGCGCGAATGCTGCGACTCGACGGTCGCCATTAGGTGAACGCCAAGATCATGGTAAGAGACTCTTCTCCAAATAGGCTTGCTCTATAGGAGTCCTAGCTCATCAGAAGTATTTGGTCTTTAGGACGCCCACCTTTTTCAAATGGCCCCCTTCCTTTTTCCATTGGCCCCCCCCTTTTTCCAATGGCACTTGCTTGCTTGCTCTTGCGTGCTTGCTCTTGCTCGCCCTGGGTTGCTTGCACTTGATCGCTGGCTCTTGCTTGCTTGTTATTGCTCGCTTGCGCTTGCTTGCTTCCGCTTGCTTGCTTACGCTTGCTTGATTTTGCTCCTCCCGTTCTCCTCCCGTCCTGCTCCCGTCCTCCTTTCGTCCTCCTCCCATCCTCCTCTCGTCCTTCTCCTGTCCTCCTCTCTATTTGGAGTCAACGCTGGCTGATATCTTTTCATTGGGGTGGTCGAAGAACGCGTTGGCGATCACAAGGTCGCACGCTATGCAACATTCGACTAAGAGGTATCGGTCTGCAAAAGCACCATTCACACTGCCATCCGCCGGCTCCTACAAAGGCGGTCCGGTGACGTCTTCCTCCCCGGCCTTTCTCTGGAGCAGCCTGGCGTTAAAGTCACTGGGGACGTATGATGTAAAGTGCTCTGTGTTGCGGCGAATCTGGTCTTTCAGCGTGTGGTAACATGTATGTCTGATGTCGTAATCGATTCAGTTGTATGGCGCGTGGACGGGTCAAACTGTAAGCATCCCACCATGCACTTTCAAGAGAAGCGTGGCTATGCGATCGCTGCACGCCTTAACAACAACAACCACCGAGCGAATACGAGGTGTTACTATTAATCCCATTTCAGCATAAGATCTTTCCTCACTGTCCCAGCATGCAGACAACAATGCAGCATAACCTTTTCGTGTGTAGCATTCGGCACTGTTGAAATGAGTCTCCTGCATACATAATATGTTGATTTCCATATCTGGCATCATCAGCCAGAGTTCGTCCATTTTCACTGCGGAATCGCCCCAGACACCTTGAATATTCCAAGTTCTCAGGCGCTGACGGATGCAAGGTTTGCAGACACGTCTGGGTCGACCCCAGGAGGCATGTTATGGTCGATGGTGAAATGCATCCATATCACAACTCTGTGAAGGTGTACCTTTTAGTGTAGATGGTCTGGGACGCGTATAAGCACCCCAGGAAAGCAGAGAAGAAAATAACGTAGGAGAAGCCGTGGAAATCGAATGTGAAGATAGCGATAAAGAGGAGATATGTGATTGATTCTGCGGCGTGGTATATTTGCGCATGCCCACTGCAATACCTGAATTTGTGAGGATAACCCGACAATCTCTGAGATGCGGCGGTTCTGAAAAATGTCTCGGGCGCCGCGGCCTTCTCAGAACGTTCCGGAACGCTCTGAGAGCGTTCCGGAGCGCTCTGGAACGGACTTATCCTCGTCCCAGCCACGCCCGACAAAGCCTCGGGACACGAGGTGACACACGTTACGGTTTCCTGCGCGATCCTCACCTGCAGCCCGTGATCTGGCACGGTGGCGAGACTTGGACGGGCCCCCCCCCTTCAGGCACTTCTTCCCCTACGTTATCCCCTTCAGGAGGAAGAGAGGGAGACCCAAACAGCAATTGGCTTCAGTGTCTACGCGCTTTTGCCAGGACACCGGCTTTGATTGTCCTTGGTGTCCTCCTTCCTCTCCCTTCGTCTTCTTCCTCCTTTCCCCCTCTCCTCGCAACTTGTGCACGCAACTTTTCTTTTGCCAATGCGCCGTTTGGACGCCAAGCTTGACTGACTGACACCCTTGTCCTCCGCCACCCCCCTGGTGAGACCAACAGATGCCGCTCTGCTTATCCCTGGACCTATACGAGGGGTGCGTCCCCCCCCCTCCCTGCCACCCCTTTTGGCGCCCCCGCCTGAAGAAAGTGCTGATCGAGGTGATGAGCCCCTCGATCTCGCGCAGGTGGGAAACGATCTCGACACGGCCGGGTCGTGGCCGCGAGACGTCGCTCGTCGTCGTCGTCGTCGTCGTAGTCGTTCGTCGGCTTCGCTCTTCGTTTGCCGTCGTTGTCGAGGGTCATGGGAGTGGAGAGCACGAGGGAGTACGAGGGGTTTGGGGCGCAAGGGGGCCTGCTGGATTTCAGGCCCCACGCTTTCCTAGGTTTTTTTAAGCTTGCATCTCTGTCTCTCTCTCTCTCTCTCTTTCTCTCTCTCTCTCTCTCACTCCCACTCTCTCTATCACTCTCTCCCTCTCTTTACCTCTCCTTCTCTCTCTCTCTCGGGATGACGCTCGGATTTTTTTCTATCTCTTTGTGGGGGGTGGCGGGTCAATTGATTCCCTTTGAGGGGGGTTACACATCGATTCCCTTTGAGTGTGGGGGGGCACACGTCGATTCCTTCGTGGTGGGGTCAAACACCGATTCCGTTTGAGGGGGGGTCTGGCCCTTGGGGAAGACTCGAGGAAACCAAACAATGGCCTCTCTGGATCCACTGGTCCCGTCTTTTTCCTTGGGCCCCCCCAAACAAACGGGACAAGTGGGTCCAGAAGGCCCGTGTATTTTTCCCCGAGCCTTGTGCCGGGTGCCCAGCCCCCTGTGCGAGGAGGCAGCGCCAGGGACCGTCAGCAGCAAGCCTCTCTATGGGCGGCAAGCCAAGCTCCGTCGGCAACACGTCCTCCTCCTCCTCCTCCTCCTCCTCCTCCTCCCAATTATCCTTCCCCTCCATCTTTACGCGGGATTCCCTCGCAATTCCCTACTACGGGTTCCTTGCTGACGATCCCTTACGAAAGATTCCTTACTAAGGACTCCATCGTTAGGATTCCATGTTGAGGACTTCTTACTAAAGATTCTCCACGAAAAGGACTTTACTACTGATTCCTTGGTACGGCATCCCGAGTAAGGATTTCCACCAGGTATTCTCCTGCATCTGAATTTCCTACGAAAGGCTCCTGACTCAGGAATCCTTGCTAATGACCCCTTACACTTTAGTGCCCCGCCCGCCCGACCCGACCCGCCCGTTAGGGTCCGCCCGACCCGACCCGACCCGTCCCTCCTATTCGGGTCCGCCCGTCCGACCCGACCCGCCCGTTGGAGTCCGCGCCCATCCCCGGTGAAAGCCGACCCCCTGCGAAAGTCAACCCCGGCGAAAGCCAAACCCGGCGAAAGCCAACCCCGGCGAAAGCCAACCCCGGCGAAAGCCAACCCCGGCGAAAGCCAACCCCTGGCGAAAGCCAACCCTGGCGAAAGCCAACCCCGGCGAAAACCAACCCCGGCGAAAACAAACCCGGCGAAAACCAACCCCGGCGAAACGAAGCTCGGCGAGAACCAACCCCGGCGAAAAGCATCCGTGCCGATGCCGGGCCCCAGGTGCCGACATCGGTGAAAAACGCTGGGAGTGAACAGATGCACATCGTCGGAGATCTGGGTCCATGGGATCGCGCCCGTGTCTAGACCGCGAGGGTATGGACGAAGACATGCTGTTGCTCGCGAAGGTCGGGGCGGACGAAAAGGGAAATAACAAAGGGTGCTGTACGTGGTGGACGAAAAACGTGCACCTTCTGTGCCCTTTTTGGGCCATATGGGGCCAATTTGAGGGGCCCAAAGGGTCCCTTTCTTTAGGGCCCTTAAGCCTTCATCCCTCTTCATTTATCCCCCCCCATAACGCAACGCCAGATTATCTTGGCGCCTCCCCGCGCTGGGATGCGCCAATGTATCGGGGCAGGGGCCTAGCGGCGGGCGCAAAAAGAAAACTGCATACGGCAAATTCCGTTAACCACCTTTCCCTGATTATATCCTCCTTCCCGTCCGCTCCGAATGATCCTCATCGTCCAGCTTCTGGGCCAGGACCAAAACTCTCCGGCAACCCTTCGGGACGCCTCGGGCATCACGAGAACGCTTCCGGCGAGGCGCGGCTACCGGAAACTACCCCGAGGCTGGAGAACCACCGAAGACCGATGAGAGCACCCGAATTAGGGCGACGAGCCCTATACATATCCACTGCTCCTGGCCAGGTCCATCCTGGGCCCAGGAGCGGTGTATATGCCTCCCTAGCCAAGCCAGGAGGGCGTATACACCGCTCCTGGGCCCAGGATGGACCTGGCCAGGAGCAGTGGATATGTATAGATCTCGTCGCCCTGCCGAATGCCCCGAACCCCGCCCTCCTCCGCCAAGCCCTCGGCCGACCCGACAACGAGGCGGGCGCGGGCGCGCGCCGCGGACAGCACCCGGCCACCCAGCGAGGCCGCGGAGACGCCGCCGGGCATCTCCAGCACCTGGGGCGCTCCGCTCGGCGGGCCGCGGAGCCGCACCGAGGGCCGAGGACCGGTCGAGGGCCAAGGACCGGTCGAGGGCAGATGGCCCAGTGAAGTCTTAGAGGAAAGAGAACTATGCACATACACCGATTCTGGCCAGGCCCATCCTGAGCCCAGGATCGGTGCATACGCCCTCCTACCTTGGCCAGGAAGGCATATGCACCGATCCTGGGTCAAAGATGGGCCTTGCCAGGATCGGTGCATGTGCATAGTTCTCTTCGCCCGAGTGAAGTCTGTGCGTCGCAATGCTTTTCAGAACCGGGCGCCTTCGCCAAGCCTCGGGCCCCCAGGGCCCTCACACAGTGGTGGATCCGACGCGAGGCGGATGCCGCTGAGTGATGTGGGCTGGGGCTACCGTCGTGATCTGTTCCACGATGCCGCGCTTCGTGGGCCCTGTAAACGACCGGGCCGTTCTTTACTGGCTCCACCTTGCCATTCTTGCTGGCGATTCTGGCGCCGTCTTTTTTTTCGGTCCCGTCGCCGCTTTTGCTGCTGTTTTCTTGCCGCTTCCATCGGGAGCGGCCAAGAGGGGGGTGTCCAAGAGGGGGGGGTGCAAATCATGACCGGCGGCATGTGCGCGGCCCAGCGGTGGGGCCAGGGACGTAATGAAATAAGAAGAGGCGCCATGAAATCTGGGGAAATATCATGGCCCCCGCCATGGTATCCCCCCCCCCCCCTAGTCATCACCCCCCTCTTTTCCGCCCCCGCTTCCACTCTCAAAAGACACTCCTTCGGCATCGGTGAGAAACGGCCCTGCCGCTGCCGGGGCCCACCACGATGCGGCAGCTGGGCTCGGCGGGGCCACGGAGCGGCGGGCGGGCGCACGAAGCCTTCGGCGCGGAGGGCGGCTAGGGCTTCTGAGCAGGCCGGGGCCCGAGAAACTCGGGCCCACACCAAGGGGCTCCCAACCAAGAGGCCCCAACAAGAGGCTCCCTAGAGGCACCACAATGCTCCCCCAGATGCCCCCGAAAGCCTTCCGAAAAGACCGCAAGGAACACCCGTGTGGGCCAGAGTCGTCGTCGCCGCCGCCGTTGCCGTCGTCCCTCTTCAGGGTCGGCGGCACCGGCCGCAAGGTCTTCGGGAAGAAGGCAAATCCGCTCAAGCTCAGACCCGGACCACTCCTGGGGTCCACATGGATGCAGTTCTTCACCATGGGGTCCACATGGGTCCACATGCGGGCGGTGCCGCTGGGGCCTTCGGTGGAGCTCCCGATGGGGCCACGAAGCGCTGTACTCGATGGGGGTGACGCATGCGGAAAATGCCACTGGGACCTTGGGTGGAGCTCCCTATGGGGCCACGAAGCGCTGTACTGGGTGGGGGCGACGCATGCGGGCAGTGCCGCAGGGGCCGTCGGTGGAGCTCCCTATGGGGCCACGAAACGCTGTACCAGGTGGGGGTGACGCATGTGGGCGGTGCGACTGAGGCCTTCGGTGGACGGATGTGGGCGGTGCGACTGGGGCGCTCGGTGGAGCTCCTTATGGGGCCACGAAGTGCTGTAATCGGTGGGGGTCACGCATGCGGGCGGTGCCACTAAGGCCTTCGGTGGAGCTCCCTTGGAGGCCACGAAACGCTGTACTGTTTGGGAGACCGCATGCGAATGCATCTACTGGGGCTTTCGGTGGAGCTCCCGATGGGGCCACGGGGCGCTGTACTGGTAGAGGTGACGCATGCGGGCAGTGCCGCCAGGGCCGGTGGAGCTCCCTTGGAGGCCACGAAACACTGTACTGTTTGGGCAACCGCATGCGAATGCATCCTCTGGGGCTTTCGGTGGAGCTCCCAATGGGGCCACGAAGCGCTGTACTGGGTGGGGGTGACGCATGCGGGCGGTGCCATTGGGGCCTTCGGTGGAGCTCCCTATGGGGCCACGGGGCGCTGTAATGGCTGGGGGTGACGCATGCGGGCGGTGCCACTGGGGCCTTCGGTGGAACTCGCCAATGGGCGGTGCCACTGGTGCTTTCCTTGGAGCTCCCTATGGGGCCACGAAGCGTTGTACTGGGTGGGGGTGACGCATGCGGGCGGTGCCATTGGGGCCTTCGGTGGAGCCCCCTATGGGGCCTCGAAGCGCTGTATTGGGTGGGGGTGACGCATGCGGGCGGTGCCACTGGGGCTTTCGGTGGAGCTCCCTATGGGGCCACGAAGCGCTGTACTGGGTGGGGGTGACGCATGCGGGCGGTGCCACTAAGGCCGTCGGTGGAGTTCCCCAAGGGGCCGCGAAGCGCTGTACTGGGTGCAAGACGCACGCGGGCGGTGCCAGTGGGGCCTTGGGTGGAGCTCCCTTGGGGGCCACGGGGCGCTGTACTGGGTGGGGGTGACGCGTGCGGGCGGTGCCACTGGGGCCTTCGGTGGAGCTCCCTACGGGGCCACGAAGCGTTGTACGGTTGAGGGTGACGCATGCAGGCGGTGCCACTCGGATATTGCCATGGAACATGCGAAGGGTGTGGCAGTGTGGCATCGCCGCAACTGGTGCTTCAGGCGGAACGCACTACGGGGCCGCGAAAAATGTGAGGGATGCGCCGCAATGGGGCGGGGCCGCCACTGGGGCCGCCGGTGGAGCTCACCATCGGGCAGCGAAGCGGGCGTAAGGGATGGGGCTGGGGGAAACCAAACAAGTACACCCGCCGGGGCCTTCGGTGGAGCTCCCCATGAGGCCGCGAAACGCTGTGTTGGGCGGGGGGAACGCATGCGAACACCGCCCCTGGAGCCTTCGGTGGAGCTCCTTCTGGGACCACGAAGCGCTGTATTGGGCGGGGGGACGGCATGCGAGTGCATCCACTGGGGCCGTCGGTGGAGTTCCCTAGGGTGCCACGAAACGCTGTGCGGAGTCGGGATGACGCATGCGGGCGGTGCAACTGGGACCTTCGGTGGAGCTCCGTACGGGGCCACGATGTGCAGGATGGGGGTAACGCATGCGGGCGGTGCCGCTGGGGCCTTCGGTGGAGCTCCCATGCGGCTGGTGCCGCTGGGGTCCTCGGTGGAGCTCCCTATGGGGCCACGAAGCGCTGCGCTGGGTGGGGATGACGCGTGCGGAAAATGCCACCGGGGCTTTCGGTAGAGCTCCTTATGGGCCACGAAGCGCTGTACTCGGTGGGGGCGACGCATGCGGGCGGTGCCACTGGGGCCTTCCTGTGGAGCTTCCCTATGGGGCCACGAAACGATGTACGGGGTGGGGATGACGCATGCGGGCGGTGCCACTGGGGCCTTCGGTGGAGCTCCCGATGGGGTCACGAAGCGCTGCGCTGGGTGGGGGTGACGCATGCGGGCGGTGCCATTGGGGCCTTCGGTGGGGTTCCTTATGGGGTCACGAAGCGCTGTACAGGGTGGGGGTCACGCATGCGGGCCATGCCACTAAGGCCGTCGGTGGAGCTCCCCAAGGGGCTGCGAAACGCTGTGCTGGGGAGGGGGGGGGGGCGCATGTAGGCGGTGCCACTGGGGCCTTCGGACATGGCGGCGGTCCCCTTGGGGCCTTCACTGGAAGTCAACGCTGTGCTGGGTATGGGTGACGCACGCGGGCGGTGCCTTTTTTTTTTTTTTTTTTTTTTTTTTTTGTTTTTTTTGTTTTTTCTCTCTTCTCCTATACCTATGATTATAAAAATAATCAGCGGCATTGGTGCGCAGCGCGCCGCGACCCGCCTGGCAACCCACTGCTTCCGCAGAGGCCGAGGCTGACGCCTGCTCGGCTTGCTCGACAAAGATAAGCGGCATCACCTGGGGCACCCGCGCGGGGCGCCCGCCAGGCCGTGCCGCCCTCGAAAAAGGGCAGGCCACCGAAGCCGCTCCCTCAGGAGCCCTGGCGGGTCGCCAGTTGCGCCAGGAACTCGCGCCGCAGCGCGACGCTGTCCTGGGGCGCGGAGTCGACCGCCTCCTGGAGGCGCGCGTCGCACAGCGCGAACACCTCCTCCATGGACAGCGCCGCCGCAGCACCCCTCCCAGGACCTCCAGCGGCGCCCCCCCCCCCCCCGTGCCGCCGAGCAGTGCTCCAGGCGACTCGCGAGTAGGGGTAGGGGGCGCCTCGGCGGCGGCCGCCGCAAGCGAAGCGGCGGGCGCGGCGGCCGAGGGCGCTGGGCGGACCAGGTGGCCAGCCCAGCTGTCGTCCTCGAGGCCGCAGACACCGGCGCCGCCGGCAGCAGCAGTAGCCGCCGCCGTAGTGTTCTCGGCGTCGGAGGGGCCATCGCCGCATCCTGCTCACCGCGGGCTCGGCGGCGCTGAGCGCAGCTACGGCGCCTCCGCCGCTGCCGCAGGCCCCCGGGCGGGGCCCCCGTCGCAGGAGCGGCAGGCGGTGCAGCAAGGGCACCTGCGCCGCCACCTCCTCCACCACCAGCGGCAGCGCCGCGAAGCTCGGCGTCGAGCATCGCCGCCGCGGCGCGCGCGATTCCCTCGGCAGCGCGCAGCAGCCGAGCGGCTGCCGCGCCCCGCGCCAGGCCAGCAGCGCCGTGCGCAGCCAGCGCAGCCCCGCGGGCCGCGGCTAACGCCGCGCGGCGGTCCGTCGCCGCCGCCGTCGGAGGCCCGCGGCGGGCCGAGCGGCCCTGCGGCGGCGGGCTCGACGCGGGCGCGGCTTGAGCCAAAATGGCTTGAGCCAAAATTGCTACGGATGTGCCACTGGGGCGGGTAGGGGTGACGCATGCGGCCAGTGCCACTTTGGCCTTCGGTGGAGCTCCCTGTGGGGCCGCGAAGCGCTGCGCTGGGTGGGGGTGACGCATGCGGGCGGTGTCGCTGTACCTTCGGTGGAGCTCCGTATGGGGCCGCGAAACGCCGTGCTGGGTGGGGGTGGCGCATGCTGGCGGTGCCACTGGGGCCTTCGGTGGAGCTCCTTACGGGGCCACGAAGCGCTGTATTGGATGGGGGGGTGACGCATGCGGGCGGTGCCGCTGGTGCCTTCGGTGGAGCTCCCTGTGGGGTCACGAAGCGCTTTGCTGGGTAAGGGTGGCCGCGTGCGGGCGGTGCCGCTGGGGCCTTCGCTGGAGCTCCCTCTGTGTCCACGAAGCGCTGTGCTGTGTGGGGGTGGCGCGTGCGGGCGGTGCCAGTGGGGCCGTTTGTGGATCTCCCTATGGGGCTGCGAAGCGGGGTGGCGCATGCTGGCGGTGCCACTGGGGCCTTCGGTGGAGCTCCTCGTGGGGCCGCGGAGCGCTGTGCTGGGTGGGCGTGGGTGGCGATGCCGATGCTGATGATGATGGAGGAGGGGGGGGGGGGGGAAAGAAGAACGCGGAGCGCTGTTTCGTCAACAAGAGGACCCAATACCACAGGAAGGCTGGGAACCACCGTGGCGAAGCACCCAGCCATATGCAATTGTGAATGCCGTCGTTGGGGGTATTGCCTTCGGGGGGTCTCTTCATGGGGCCGTGGGGCATGCGAAGGGTGTGCCGATGAGGGGCGGGGCAGCCATGTGGGCCCTGCCGCTGGTGCTTCAGGCGGGGCGCACTAGGGGGGCGCGACAAGTGTGAAGCGTTCGCCGCAATCAGGCGGAACCGCGACTGGGGCCTTCGGTGGAGTTCCCTATGGGGCAACGAAACAGTGTACTGGGTTGGGGAAGCGCATGCGAATGCAACCAGTGGGGCCTTCGGTGGGGCCCCCTACGGGGCCGCGAAGCGCTGTGCTGGGCGGGGGTGGCGCATGCGAACGCGGCCACGGGGGCTTTCGGTGGAGCTCCCTATGGGGTCACGACGCGCTATGCCGTTTTGGGAACCGCATGCGAATCATCCACTGGGGCCTTCGGTGGGGCTCCCAATGGGGCCACGAAGCGCTGTGCTGGGTGGGGGTCACGCATGCGGGCGGTGCCATTGGGGCCTTCGGTCGAGCTCCCCATGGGGCCGCGAAGCACGAGCGCAGCCGCTGGGGCCTTCGGTGGAGCTACCCTATGGGGCCACGAAGCGCTGCAGTAGGCGGGGATGATGCATGCGGGCGGTGCCACTGGGGCCTTCGCTGAAGCTCCCTCTGAGGCCACGAAACGCTGTGCTGGGCGGGGGCGACGCATGCGGGCGGTGCCACTGGGGCCTTCGGTGAGTTCCCCATGGGGCCGCGAAGCGCTGTGCTGAGTGGGGGTGACGCGCGCGGGCGGTGCCGGTGGGCCTCGGGTGGGGCCCCCCACGTGGCCGCGAAGCGCTGTGCTGGGGGGGGGGGGGGGGCGCAGGCGGGCAATGACACTTGGGCCTTGGGTGGGGTTCCCTACGCGGCCACGAACCGCTGTGCTGCGCGGGGAAACGCGAAGGGGATGCGGGGGGGGGGGAGGGAGAAAGAAGGAAGGAACGCGGGGCGCTGTCTCTTCAAACCGAGAACCCCGCGCCGCAGGATGGTTGGGAAAAGCGAGGACCCACCGCCGCGGGACGGCTGGGAGCAACAGCTCCTCGAACCTGCCCCCCGCCCTCTGCGGGGGAGATTTGCGCCCGTCACCTCCCCGTTACCAATGGGGCAGGAACCGCCGGAAAATCGTTTGACAATGCGAATTGGGCATATTTCCGACATTCGCCACTGAAACGCGCCGACGTGCTTTTTGGGCGATCTGCGAATATAACTAACTGTGACACCACCGCCCGCATCGAATCAGGGCTTTCGCGTTGGCGCTGATATCGCGCCGTGTGCAACGCGGACGGACTATGCGCTGTTCTTGTTTTTTTTGGCCACCCCCCTTCGCGCGCGCGCGCGCGCCTCGCGCTTCGCCCGCAGCGGGGGCGCGCGCGCATCTCCAGCGCGCGCGCATCTCGCCTCGCGCCATGCGCGCGCGCGCGAAGGCATGAGTGCGCGCGCGGAATCTCAGCGATGGCGCGAGCCTTCAGGGCGCGCGGAGCGCGCGACGGCAAATCGCGCGACCAAACCGTGCAACAAATTTGCCCCGTCGCCCGGATTCCCCATGAATTCACGATGCGAGCGCCGCTTCCGCAATTCTTGCTGCACGGCTGCCAAAGGTATCTTGCCGTCGCCACTTCGGATTTTGTCCCAGCTCTGCGCCGCCGGCGGATTTTGTCGTCCACCTCTCTGTTTTGGTCGTTGGCAGTTGTGCTTTGGCTGTGCAATCGTCGTCAGCCTCCCTTGATGTCGTCGGCCTCTTCTTTGCGTCGGCCCTTTCTTTGCGGTCGTCGAACTGTATTTGTTTTTGTCGGCCGTTCCTCTTGGTGCCCCTCACGGTCGGATTCCGAAGTTACTCGGGCTTTTCAATATGTTTGGGGTCCTTCGCAACCGCATCCATCTTCCATGCCTTGCACGTTTCCCGCGTACCCATCACCCAGTCTGGAAGCGATACCCAAGCGTTGCACATGAAAATCGATTCTGGGTCTTCGCCGTTCTCTTGAAAGACCGCCCACAACCGCTGGGGGTGTCTCAGCGCTAATAGCGTCTGAGATGCGTGACGGGCGCCGCGGCTTCATTTATCAAAACCAGATGAACGTGATCAGCTCTTTTTGCTTGTCATTCGCCGCTTTGTGATCCTATGGAAATGGACGGTGCGATATCCACATCCACTGCGTCTTGGAGCTCTGGACCCCCTTCGCGGCGCAGTGGCCCGCGCCAGTGCCAGGGCACCTCAGGCCCCCAGCCGACTCCCACCTCTGCGTCCTCCTGGGGGTGCCCGCCTTGGACGAGCCCGCCAGACGCGGGCCTCGGCGGTGATGGCAGAAGCCGCGCTCTCGTGCCGCATCGTGCACGTGGAACACTTCGAGATGCGAGGTGGGCCGGGAACCGCCACCTTCGTCAGCTTGACCCGGCCCGTGGCGCCGACGATTCCCCACTCGACCTGGCGAGTGAAGAGCTGCCGCTTGGTGCTGCGGGAGCGCGTGGCAGCCAGCGGCGGGCCGACGACGACGACGGCGGTGCCTAAAACAGGGCTAGGATCGGGATAAATCGCTCCAGAGCGTTCCGGAGCGCTCTCAGAGCGTTCCGGAACGCTCTGGAGCGGCCGCGGCGCCCAATACATCCTCCAAACCCGCCGATTCTCAGAGAGTTCGAGTTATCCCGATCCGATTTTGTCCCGATCTTCGCGTCGTTTGAAGCAGGCGCGAGATGCAACTGGGGGGAACCCAGAGCACCCAGAGCGCGCCGGCTCCTTCGACGGCCCCGAGAAGCCACCGCGCAGCGCGCGGAGCGAAGAAACCAGGAGGCCTCAAGAGTCCCCCAAGAGGCCTCCTCCTCCTCCTCCTCCTCTTCCTCCTCCTCTTCCCCTCGCCCCCACGCGGCCCCCAGGGATGGCCCGAAGAGGCCTTCCAAGGTCACCCCCTTGCTCCCAGAGATCTTTCGGTTCATCCTGGTTGCTCGCTTTGTTTCCCTAGATGTGTCCCTTCGCCCCTTTTCCCGTCAGCGCTCGTGGGCAGGGCTTCTGAATGGGCTGGTGGGGATACGCGAAGCGTGAGGAATTGGAGCGATTTTCGCCTTTTGGGGCCCTCTTGGGGGTCTTCTTGGAGCTGTCTTGGGGAGTCTTGGGAGTCTCTCGGGCCGTCCTGTAGCAATCTGGAAGCGATTTGGCAGTCCGCTGGCCGAACTAGAGCTTTGGGAGCCACCTGGGCTCCCCTGGGCTCTGGGGACCGAGGGGGCTCTTAGTGTACCCTGAGTGCTCCTGGTGTGCTGCGGCCCAATGACCTCTGGGCCCGGGTGCCTGGCTTTTCTTTTTCAGCAGAACAGGCCCCTGGAGTTAACATGGTGGAGCGAAACCCTGCGCTCTGCGCTGTGCCAGCGGCAGGGAACCCTAGGGATGAGGCGAGGGGCTGCTGCGGCGGCACGCGGAGGCCGACATCTAACTTGATCCCACGCGCCAAGATGCGCCGAGACGAAGCATCGGGCCGCATCCACAGAAAAATACTGGAACCGAACTGGGCCGCGCCCAACAAACTCGGCACCCAATCGGACAGATCGAATCGAAATGGGCCCTGCCGCAGGTGGCGGCGGCCGGCGGGGGACGGTGCCTGTACGAGAGCCCCGAGCACTTGCCTGGGCGGCGACGTCGCCGTCGCCGTTGCCACCACGGTCGCCGCCGCCGCCACCCACGCCGTCGCAGTCACCGCCGCCGCGGCCGCCGCCGCCGCCGCCACCGCCGCCGCCGTCGTCGTCGTCGTCGTCGTCGCCGTCGTCGCCGTGGCTGCCACGCCGTGGCTGCAACGTCGCCGACGCCAGGCGCGCGCGCGCGCGCTCGGCGGCCGCCGGGGGGCGGGGCCGCTGGGCGAGGCGGCCGGGCGGTGCGCGGGCTCCGAGAGGCGAGGCCCGCCCGAGGCGAGGCCGCCGAGCGCGGGGCGCTCTGCCCTCGCAGAGGAGGGTCGCACCGCACCGCGCGCCGAGCTCGGGGGCCGCGGGCAATACGGTCAGGAATCCCAATAAGGACGTGGGGTAAGGATGCAGGACCCTTGGAAGCCGAAGTTGGGATTTCTGGGGCGGCGGGCGACGAAAACCTCAAGGACGCAAGAGCAAGGAAGAGCAAGGACGCAAGGGTACCCTGAGCAAAATCGCGCGTCATTATTAAAGTTTTTGACTGGAGGGTGGCCGAACGAGGGCCGCTCGAGCTCGTGCGTTGCGTGCCTGCCGGTGTCGCGGCGCCGTCGCTGGCGTCGTCGTCGTCGTCGTGGCGTCGTCGTCGTAGTCGTCGCCGTCGTGTCGTCGTCGTCGTCGTCGTTGTTGTCGTCGTCGTCGTCGTCGTCGTCGTCGTCGTTGGGCCGTCGTCGTCGTCGTCGTCGTCGTCGTCGTCGTCGTCGTCGTCGTCGTTGGGCCGTCGTCGTCGTTGGGCCGTCGTCGTCGTCGTCGTCGTCGTCGTCGTCGTCGTCGTCGTCGTCGTTGGGCCGTCGTCGTAATTGGCCTCGACGGGCCCACCGTGGTCCGCTGAGGCGCCGAGGGTCGCCGACGGACGGCGAGGGCCGCGCGCGCGCGTGGAGGCGCGCCTCAGCTCGCGCCGCGACCGCGAGATCTGCGTGCCTTCGCCGGCCGCGCTCGCGGGGCGGGGAAGGGGCGGAGGCGGGGGGGGGAAGGCCTCCTCGCCTTCCTGGGGCGAGCAGCGTTCTATCCGAAAGAGCCTCCTCTGGGTGGGCTGGGGGAGAGTCAGGGGGGAGGGAGGGGGTTTCAAACGCCCCCAGGCCAAAGAGCCCCAAGAGGGCTCCAAGGGGGCTCCGAGGGGGCTCCAAGACCTCCAATGCAGCCCGAACAGGACCCCGAGACAGCCCCAAGAGGACCCCAAGGGGGCCTCCAGGAAGACCTCAACGCAGCCCCGCGGGTCCCCCAAGAGGCTCTCACAACAGAAGATCTGCGAAGACCTCCTTCTAATCCTCCGTCCCCATTTCTCTCCCAGTCCTCCTTATCCTCCAAGGCCTGCTCCTCCTCCTCCTCTTTCTCCTGGTCTTCTTCCTCCTCCTCAGTCATTCTAGCTCAAGCCCGTATCCATTCCGGCTCAAGCCGTTGGGCGCGAGCGGGCGGCGGCCTGACCCCGCGCGGGGTCCTCTCCGCCCCATCTCCTCGGCACGGCTGCGGTGGGGGCCGGCGCGGCGGCTACAGCTGTCTTTCGGGAGCGGCCAAGAGGGGGGTGTGCAAGGGGGGGGGGTGCAAATCATGACCGGCGGCACGTGCGCGCCCCAGCGAGGGGGCCAGGGACGCAATGAAACGAGAAGAGGCCCCATGAAATCCGGTGAAATATCGTGGCCCACGCCATGATATCCACCCCCCCCCTGGTCATCACCCCCCTCTTTGCCGCCCCTGAGTCTTCGGTGCAGTCATTACGCCGCTGGCGGCCGGGGCCCAAAACAAGCAGCCCGCCACCTGCGGCTCTCGCGGCGGGCGGCGCGGCGTTTGGAGGCGGCCCAGCAGGCGTTGTGGCCTCGCCCCCGGACCATTGTCGAGGCAGCGCTCGAGGCCGCGGGGGCGGCCAGGGAGCTCCCTGAGAAGCCGTCTCCGGGGCGAGGGCATCGCTCAGGGAGGGTGGCTCTTAGGGGAGCGAAATCTATACATATCCACTGCCCGAGGCCTGGCCCTTGCTGGGCCCAGAGGGCGGCGTATATGCATCCCTGGCCCAGAGATGGGCCAGGCCTGGGCAGTGGATATGTATAGACCCCGCCGCCCCAGCTCAGGCGCATCAGCTGCGAGAGCTGGCAAGTTCTCGGGAGCCCGAAATGGAGTTGGAACTCTCAGGTCTGGGGAGCGCTTGGCTTCGGGGAGGTGGGGCCTGAGGCGGGCCGCGTGCAGATGTCCAACCTTGTGAATGAGGTGGAGCTGGCGAGGAGCAAGTCCGAAGCCATCGCCCAGACGCAGTTTGAAAAGCAGCACCACCATCGAGACAATTGTCCAGAAGCACCACGGGATGCTCGTGGGCACTAGCGAATTGACGGCACAGTTCGGGTAGCTCGCGCAAAGTCCCAGGGGCAGTTCTGTGTGCTTGAGGACATCAGCAAGCCGATGGATCATCAGACCCAGGAGCACTCCCTGGGTCTCGGTTCCATCAAGCAGATGTTCGAGGAGCATCGTGTGAATGTTGAGAGGCGGGTCCAGCAACAATATCCGATGCCCCTGATAGCCGACGCCGATGCGAGGCGGGTGCAATAGCGAGCCCGATGCCCCTGATACCTGCCCCCTGAGAGGCGGGTGCATTGGCGACCCCGATGCCCGACGTTAACCCCGTGCCCCTGAACATCACGGGCGGGGATAACAAAATTCGGTGTTCGGGGGGTGGGCCCGAGGCCATGGACAACATGTGGACACTTCAGCTTTGAGTTTTGGGGGAGGGGTGCGAAGCAATGGCATTTCGCAGTTGCGGTTGTTAACATGTTGCCTCGCCTTGATCCTCCTACGGTGGCTCGTCCTATCGTCCGAGCTTCGATCCGCGATTGAAATTTCACCAGCCCCCCCCTCCAGTCCTCCAGCCCTGTCCAAACCAACTCTTCCCAACCCTTCCATACCTCCGCCGCCATCCCTACCCCTCCAGTCTTCCAGCACCCTCAAACCACCACCGGCCCTCTCCAACTCTTTTCGCTCCCCTCGAGCCTCCTCCAATTCCTTCGAGCCTCCTCCCACCCCCTCCAACTCCCTCCAACCCCCTCCAACCTCCACCGCCCTTCCCAACCCTCGTCATCCCCACCGGACTCCCTCCAACTTCCGTCACGACCCCTCACGCCCCCTGCACCCCCCCCACTTATACTTCCAACCCCCTGCGACCCCCTCTAATCTCTCCTACCCCCTCCAAGCTCTTGAACCCCCCCTACAACCCCCTCCAACCCGATCCAACCCTGTCCATCCCCCTCCGTCCCCACCAGCCCCCGTCCAACCCAGTCCAACCCCCTCGATCCCCCTCCAACCCCCTCTCCTGCCTCCTCCAACTTCCTCCAACCCTCTCGAACCACCTCCAACCCCTCCAGCGCCCTCCAACCGCCTCCAGCTCTCCCGGACCCCCTTCCAGCCTTCTCCAAACTCCTCCGGCTCCCTCCAGCCCCTGCGCCCATCCACCTTTCTCCAACCCCCTCCAAGCCCCTCGACCCCGCCCCCCCCTTCCTACCCCTTCCACCGCCCTCCAACCCGGCCCCTGCCGACCTCCTCCGGCCCCCCAACTCCCTCCAACCTTAAGTCGTCCTGACCCCCTACAGGGGGATTTTCGACGAAAAATTAAAGATCCCCCCGAAGTCATCCAAAAATAATCAAAAAATAGTCTGGAGACTATTTTTTAGTATTTTTTCTTGTTGGGAATATTTCCCCATATCCTAAGATGGGGTTCTTGTTATTACTTGGACGCCTCCTACTCCTCCTCCTCCTTCTTCTTCTTCTTCTTCTCCTTCTCCTCCCCTCTCCTCCTCATACCCAGACTTACTCATACACAGACTGACTCACACTCAGATTCACTCATACCCAGACTTACTCACACACAAAATTACTCTTACTCAGACCTACTCATACTCAGACCTACTCCTACTCAGACTTACTCATGGTGAGACTCACGTACGCCCCGTTCGCGGCCGTTTTGTGGGGATGCCTCAAGCGGTTTGCTTGTTTTCTGTCCCAACATCCTTGGCTACCAGAGCAGATTGTGAGGATGTCTCAGGCGGGGCGCTGGTTTCAGCTCCCCCTGAGGGGAGCCGCCAGGGGTTATCTCACAGTCCCGTTCGCGGCCGTTTTGAAGGGATGTCTCAGGCGGTTTGCCTGTGTTCTGTCCCAGCATCCTTCGCTTTCGGAGCAGATTTGGAGGATGTCTCGAGCGAGGCGCTCATTTTCACTCCCCATAAGGGGAGCCGCCAGGGGTTATCTCACGGTCCCGTTCGCGGCCGTTTTGTGGGGATGTCTCCAGCGGTTTGCCTGTTTTCTGTCCCAGCATGCTTCGCTTTCGGAGCAGATTTGGAGGATGTCTGGAGCGAGGCGCTCATTTTCACCCCCCTAAGGGGAGCCGCCAAGGGTTATCTCACGGTCCCGTTCGCGGCCGTTTTGTGGGGATGTCTCAAGCGGTTGCCTGTTTTCTGTCCCAACATCCTTCGCTTTCGGAGCAGATTTGGAGGATGTCTCGAGCGAGGCGCTCATTTTCACTCCCCATAAGGGGAGCCGCCAGGGGTTATCTCACGGTCCCGTTCGCGGCCGTTTTGTGGGGATGTCTCCAGCGGTTTGCCTGTTTTCTGTCCCAGCATGCTTCGCTTTCGGAGCAGATTTGGAGGATGTCTGGAGCGAGGCGCTCATTTTCACCACCCTAAGGGGAGCCGCCAGGGGTTATCTCACGGTCCCGTTCGCGGCCGTTTTGTGGGGATGTCTCAAGCGGTTTGCCTGTGTTTTCTGTGCCAACATTGGGACCTCATGTGGTCTCCTGGGGCCTCCTGGAGCCTGTTGGAGCCTCCTGTGGCATCCTGAGGAGAATCTGTGCCCACGAGTCTGGCCACCGATCGAGACATCCTCAAAATCTGGCCCACCTGGGGGGTGAAAATGAGCGCCTCGCTCGAGACATCCTCCACAGGATGTCCCAAGAGGCTTTAGGAGGCCCCAGGAAGCTCTGGGAGGCCTCAGGAAGCCACACGAAGCCGCAAGAGGCCAGAGGAAGCGACAGGAGGTCTCGGAAGGCAACAGGAGGCCCCGAGAGGCCCCAGGAGCAGGAGGCCTCAGAAAGCAACAGGAGTGGCTCCAATCCCATGTCTTACCTGGAGCACGAATCCTTGATGTTATCAGTATGTTTCTATATATTGTCCTTCTCCTGTGTACTTATGTTCCTATAGGGCCTCTCCTGGGGCGCGAGTCCTTGGTGTTTTACGTGTGTTCCTATAGATTGCCCCCTTCTCCTGTGGCTCCAATCCGCAATGTCTTATGCACGCCTGTTGCTATAGATTGGGCCTCTCATGGGGCACGAATCCTCCCTAGGAGGTCCCAGGAGGCCCCAGGAGGACCCAGGCTCATGCGCAGAGACGCGCTCGTACTACTGAGGCTCATTCATACTCCAATTCATTCTCAGTTAGATTCATGACCAGACCGTCACAACTGAAGCCCGTTTATATTCGAAAGCTACTGCGCCTAGACATTCACGGCGGACAGGTCCATGCGAATAGATGCACAGATGGGGAGGTCCACGCAGTGAATCATTCTGGGGTATCTTTTTCATGTTTCGTCGAAAAAATCCCCTTGTAGGGGGACGCTCCCGACAGAACTCCAACCCCCTCGAAGCCCCTCGATCCGCTCCAGCCCCCTCCAGCTCCGCCCCCCTCCTGGGCATCGCTCGGACGTCCATTTCCCGTGCTCTTTTCGGTTTCGCGCGTGGCTTTTTCGCCAAATGATCATGGATGCTCCTCCATGGTCCTCGCCGAAGAAAAAAAACGCACACGTCCGAGCGATGCCGAGTGAAGACCATCCATCCGACATGTTCCCCAAATCCTCAGAAGGCACCCACGAGGTTCCAAGCACCCACGAGGTTCGATGATCGAGGATGCTCCTCGATGGTCCTCGCCGAGGAAAAAACGCACAGGTCCTCGCCG